TTTTATATCGTCTTTAAAACTCTAGTGGAGGTTTTCTTTTTCTCCCACTGACATTAAAAAAAAAATTAAAACAAAATTCTAATCAAATCTTGTGTGAAGTTTTGCACCAGCACACACACACACACGCACACGCACACACACACACAGAGTGAAGTAGAATGAAGAGGCATAGAGAAGGGACTGAAAATGAGAAGCCCCTTTGAGGATATTAATAATTAGTGATAGTATGCTCAGATAATATTCCAATATAACTATGATTATTTTCTATTATTTATAGATTTTTTATTTTTTTTTTTTGGGGGGGGGGGCGCACCTCCTGTTGTGTCTGTGCTGCACTTCCAAAAGATCGCCTGTCAATCAAACAGTAGGCTTGTGGGCACAGTGTGGTACTATGATGGCTCCTCACTTGGACTTCCTGTTGATCGAGTTTTGAGGTTCTGTAGATCTTTTTTTGTCTGTTGGCCACAGTGGCTGCAATCTGTCATTGCTGAGGATAACCACTTTGTTTTTCCATTTATTCCACACACACACACACACACACACAGAGCATCAGATAATGTTCACTATATGATCCCAGATTTTCTAGGCAAAGACTTACAAGACTCTTAGTTAATGAAATAGCAAACATAAAAACGTAACTTTGGCATTTATTGCATATTAAAAATAAAACCGCATTTGTTTGCTAAAAAATGTTACTGGAAATAGAGAGATGCAGACATTTGCATAGACAGAAGGATAGATATTTGCTTATAATGTGTCAAAGATTATATAATGTGTTTTGATTAAATTAAAATAATGCATTTCTTTCCCCTGGAAGTTGCAAATGATAATGAGAATGATATAAACATTTGCAATTAAAATGTGCAAATTGGTGTGAAAAAAAACCCATTGCGTGCCACTTTAATGAAAGTCAATTCCAGTTGAGTAATAAGCACCAACAGTGTGGATGTTAAGGTATTTATTATCATTAATTCTCACTCATTTCCATTTAGGATAAATAGATTATGCATGCTCTACAAGAAAAGTGAACACCGAACATGTGCTGAAATTAACTAAAAGCATGTATTGTTAGATATGACATGACAGCACGAGTGCAAATGACTACATAGTTTTATCATGCTCCATTTCTGACAGTTTTTTTTTATTAATTATGAGTCTTAAGGATTTGTTAGAGACAGAAGAAAAGGGCATAAAGATCAGGACTGCCAGCTGAAGGCTAAAACTGGGATAATAATGCCACAGAGAGTGAATAACAACATGTATATTCAGAGTGAGATTTGAGAGCAAACCATAGCTTAAGGGTAGCCCTAAAGTCTGTGGTGTGGCTGTTAGGACAAGCGCATAAAAACATGCAAGTTGACTAAATGTCATTTAAATGGCAACTGGATCACTGTACATGCGACTTAGTGTTCACGCCTTTCATTTAAACTGTTATCAGTAGCTACTACAATAGTGAAATTAAGATTTTTACTCCAAATGACAGACCCATCTACCCTCATAACATGATCACTGGAAAAAACGTACCATGCACATACAGTGATTTTAAGAAACAGGGTATTTTGTGCATTAAGAAGTTCCATTTTTGATTATATTGCACATTTTAGCCATGGTACTTGCATGTAATTACATTTAGAGCCATCATCATGCCTAATTTTTTTTCCCAATGCGTTTGTTACTGATGAATTACCTGCAAAACTAAACTAGACTAACATTACCACCAATCTCGGCTGTACTTTGTTCTTTCACATGCTAACACGTTAAATCAATAGGTGAAGAGGGTAAACATTAGGCTACCTAACCCTAACAGCATTATCACTGAGTATGTTAAGATGCCAGGAATATATTGCGATAGCGATTTATTTTTTTGAATCTACCTTAAGGAAAACTGTCATAGTATAAATAACACACCCCCAATATGCATAAAATCTAAGAAAAAAAGGTTACATTTTTATGTAACCAGAACAGTGCTGCATTTGTATTTATTACGGTTCCTCTAACAGTGTTGATACAGTGTTTTTGAGAATCGATACAATATTACAAAACTTTTTGTTAAAATGTGCAGTGTATTAAAACATTTGCAATGGATAATACATTTCTCAAAGTGCATATGTTTAGACTCTACCACTCATACCATACCTCAAATTTCAAGCCCACACAGCTTTACTTTATAGTCTAAGAATATATACATTCTTTTGGTGAAAGTTTAAAATTATCTATTTTTCCACTGACTATTTTAATCTTTTAATTTAATCATCTCTTCATTATTTATCTTGTTGGATGTCTTACAATGAAATGTCTACAGATGCAAGGACAGGCAAGCTGTTAGATCTTAGGATCAGGTGCTTTACTGGTTTAACTGTCTTGAAGGGACACACCAACTCACACATACATCTTAATATCCGCACACACACATACACTTCCTGTGGTGAGATTAGTTATGGTCATGGCTGGCTGGCTGAAATGGCTCATTCCTCATTGTGAATGCAATTTGAATAGACGGCATTGGTGGTATTAATGTGCGTGCGTGTGCGTGTTTGTGTGCGTACGTGCGTGTTAGTTGCCCTTGGGCAAGCTGTCTTTCTGATGC